TCTACAACTCTTTCAATCATGCAAGGTCACAGACTTCACACCAGCAAGAATAAGATTCTTGCCTGTAAATTCTGAATAAAGAAGATTTACGTTGAAGAATTCCAACAATCACAGCTTCTAATAACAACGCATACGATATACATACCAATCTCGGCACCAAGACCGTGCATCCCCGAGATGAGAACATTGGAAGCAAAGAGACGCCTCATAGTCTCACGACCATAGACGGCGAGCTGCCGACTATGCAGATCTTCATCAATCTCCTGACGGTTCGAATTACCAAAAGCCATGTCGATTTGGTGAGCGACGCTATCGCCGTGAAATCCGCTACTACTACTACTACTACCAGAAGCAACAATCGAAGACTTATTATCAGACGAAGAAGAATCAGTGATATCGATACGGCGTTTCTTAGATGATGCTAAATCGGAACCGATGATGCTATTATCGTTCTTATCGTTAGCTTCACTAGCTCGCTTGTGAAGCATAAAGTGATGAAAAAACCTGGACAAAACATGAGAAATTCCCATTAGATTTAGAACAGTGAAACAACAGGTTTGGAATCCGATCAGAGAATTGAAATACCTAACCCTAAATCTGGGAATGATTCTTCGGAAGCTATGAGAAGGAAGACGAAACGTACCTTTGAGGAAAGCAGACGAGAGAAGATTGGAATCGGAAAAGAGAAAAAAAGTTTGAGATCTGAAAATTGAAATTGAAGTGACGAATTTTGCAAAAATCTCAAGAGATTTTATTATAGAGAGACGAACGAAGGAAAGGGGGTTCGGTTGTGGGAATATAAAACGACGTGGTTTTAACAGTTAAGGTTTGATTTGTCGCTCTTTATCCGCGTGATTGTGACGGCAATTCTCTGACCGGGGGACACGCGTGCGTCACTATTTCGACGACCAGATCCGGTTTAGTCAATTTCTTATGGATCCTTCTTATGAATCTGTATTAAAATTTGGAATATTGCTCCTTTTTTTTTTTTTTAATTATTACACAAATTTAAAAACCTCACATTTTCTTTTATATAACTGGATATTTTACTTTTTCTATAAATAAAGACTCAGATTTTTTATTTATTAGAATTTGATTATTGGATCAAATTCCCAGCTATGAATATCCAATTTTTTTTACTTTTAAGAAGTGCTTAATTTGATGAGGAATTCCTTAAGTTTTATGTATGGTTTTCTTAAAAATCATAATATCATAAATACCAAAAAAGAGAAAAGAACCAAAAGGGCTGTCAAAAAAAAAAAAAAAAAGAAAAGAACCAAAAGGATAACACAAAATATGAAATATGTCTAGTTAATGCAATAATCTCACATTACCAAAAAGCAACATATAGAGGAAAAGAAAAGAAAATCTTGTGAGAATTAGCATAAATTTATAAAATTCAATAATCAGGAAAATATATGAATTGGGCCCAATTCATAAATTAGTATTTTGTGGGCATTGGCCCAATTATGAGTACAACATAAATCCATAATGGCTCTATAATCTCCTAATTTGGCTCTTTTGTCATTTTGTGATTCTCTATCACACTCACCGTCAAAATTGCCATCGGGATCAAGATGAGAACCGATAAAAAAAAAAATCAATTGCCAATAGTTAAGACTCTTTGTGATTCGATTACATTCACCACCAAAATATATAGATACACAATCAAATCTCAAACATACCAAAATTCTTGAAAATGCTAATTATATACATTGTCTAATAGTGTTAATTCACCTAGATTCAACTTTCCTCATCTTCTATCTTATTTGCGGAACTTATATGCATTACAATTACCTCGTGATCTTCTCATTGCGGACCAAAACCGTTAAACCTTCTAAGTTATAGTTCAAAGACACTTTTGTTTCAGTTGAACTCTAATATCACTTTGTAATGTGCATTTCTCTGCACACCTTTAGTATATGGCACTCATATTCCTTTAACGATCAATATCAAAGTTGAAAGATTTGTTAACTAACATTGCATATATATCACTATAAATATTAGTTTGTGGTGGCATCGTCTGCATATATAGACTGAAATTTTATTTTTTAATCATTAATTTTATGAGCTTTCAAATACTAAGTGGATACTAAAAAATGGAAAACAAACAAATCATATTGTTTTATCAAATACTATATGATTTGATTGGTGCTTAGGCTGATGGTGAAAGAAAAAGAATCCGTGTGACACCGTATAACTAAAATATTTAACGTAACTTTTAAAGTGTTTATATTATGTTTAGGTGTTAACTGGATGCTGAAGAAACGTTTAATTAAACCAAATCATGACAAGATTGTATAAAAAACCAAACTAGTCATGTTTTCGAACGCCTAAACACCTATCTAAAAATGTTAATGCATCTATTTTCTAGTCTAGAGATCTTTATTAGTAAATAGTTTGGATATGTGCGAGCAGTGGCGGATCCAGAAGCTGTTTTTACCTGGGGCACAATTACGTTTTAGCATAAAAAATTAAAATTCGAAAACCGATCGGAAAAATTCGACTTCAAAATCGAATCGAATATTCATAAAATTTCTAACAGATTCTAAATGTTTTGAACGGAATTATCCAAACCAAACAAAAAATTAAATATTATACCCTAAAACCCGAAATAAAATTATATATCTAAAAATATTAGTTACATTTAGTTATAATTTTATAACAAAAAATA